TGACACACCTCCTAATTCCTAAAGCAGTTCCACTAGCCGAAACCAAGCATTCAGATAGATGAGCCTGCTTATACCATTCTCACTCAGACTGCCACAGCATCTTAACAGCCCCAGAAATCTTTAAAATACACCTTTCTCCACCTTCAATTTCTAATATCATTTGACTCAAATTTATTACTTTAAAAATTAACCAGTGGCATCTCATTTTTTTAATATAAAGCTATGTAATCAAATACTAAAATACATTCAAAGTGTTGCATTATTTTTGCTTTTAACCCTCCATCTCCTAGCTCTGTTTAGTGTGTGCTTTAATAGCATCATGCTCAACCCAGTCTGCTATTTTCATTGACATGGACTTGGGAATGAAGTCAGGATAAACTGTAGTGTATACTTTTTTTGTTCTGTTTTGGTGTTCAGTGAGCTTCTGTGTTTAGCTGTTGATTGGTACAAATAGATCTAAAAATGACTCTGGAAGTCAGGCATAGGAATCCAAATTAGTGTTTTCCTTGTGATTAAAACTCTATAGATTTTTTGAAGTCTGACAGCATGTGAATCAAGTTTTGATTTGGCTTTTAATTTATGGAATGTTTTATTAAATGTGTTTTCCAGTTAGTCTTGCCAGTGTTTATAATTCAAGAACATGTCACACAAATGCATACATTTTTATTACTTTTCCTGTATTCATGTTTTCTGTATAGTGTATAATGGTGTTTATAAACATTTTTTTTTTTTTTTTTTGAGACAGGGTTTCTCTGTGTAGCCCTGGCTGTCCTGGAACTCACTCTGTAGACCAGGCTGGCCTCGAACTCTCGAACTCAGAGATCCACCTGCCTCTGCCTCCCAAGTGCTGGGATTAAAGGCGTGCGCCACCACCGCCCGGCGTTTATAAACATTTTAACCAAAAAGATTATTGCAAGTTAACAATGACTAAATGAGAAAATTGGAACAGAAAGGCAGATTTGGAAAGTGGTCCCCCTCTCTTTGGAACTATAAAAAATGAGCAAAGTCATGTACACACATAGACTTGGAAAGTTCTTCTGGTTGGTTTGGCTTCATTCAGTGTTCCCACTGAGCATGCTGCTAGTTCTTGTCTTCCTCTTCCCTGTTGTTGTTATAAGTTGTCAACTGTGGTCTGGAAGTAATTCCTAAATGTTAGTTCCATTAATTTAGAGTAGTGTGCTAAAAATCTCATGAAAGGTAAGTCATTTCTTTGACCAGTGTATTTGCCTGTGTATGCTCTGTGTCCATTAATGACCCTCGATTTTCAGACTAAAGTGTTTGTGTTCAGGTAACTACTTTACTTAAGGATGGGCTCAAAGCACTAAGGAAGTGGTGCTGGCAATTGAATATGCCAAAAAACATCCATAAAGTACTTTCTTTAAAAGCTGAAATACAAGCCAGGTGTAGTGCACGTCTTTAATTCCAGCATTAGGAGGCAGAGGCAGGTGGATCTCTAAGTTTGAGGCCATCCTAGTCTGCAGAGTGAGTTTCAGGACAACCAGAGCTGCACAAAGAAACCCTGTCTCAAAAAACCAAACCAAACCACAACCACAAGTTGAAAAACCGTAAGATATTTTTGAGATAATAGAGCTCAGACTCACGTTTGTTACAGTGTGGTGTTTGCTTTACTTTTGTTAACCTCTCTGGCCATGCCTTATCTGTAAATTAAAGTTTTTCATGACCATAATGGAAGAAAAGCAGCAGCATTGGTCTGAACCTTACTCTCAGCCATCTACTGTGGGACTTGGAGTGTTTGCCCTGGAATTGGGGAGAAGTACATATTTCAGAAAAGTCACATTATTTGTTTCTGGTGAAATACTCTATAAATTCTTTAAAATGTATGTTTATGGGAAAGTTTAAATAAATTGGGTAATTAAGGTGTCATTATGAGCTTCCTGAATTAATCAGTTTATATATTGAGTTGCCCTGGTTTTGTTTGTTTTGTGCCAGGAAGATGAGAATGTGCCCATCACTCCTGATCCAGCAGACCAGCATTTACACGCTCATGGAGCAGGCTTCTGCTTCGATTCCAGGCAAGTGTTTTCCTTGTAGAATTTTATAGAATTATGTAAGACAGGTGATTCTAAAAATTAGTTTCTGGGAACTTGTTAAAAGTATAGTGCCCAGAGCCCAGCATACAGAATGTAAATCCCCTTCAAGGTTCCAGCCATTCACTGTATCCCTCTTGCCTTCTGTGGGTCAGACACGCCATTTTTAAAAAGATCTTGAGGCATAGGAACTTTGAAATAGATAGTTTTAAATTCATGTGTTCTGTTTTGGGTTTGTTCACAGGAGTTTAGGTGCTCACACAGGCCAGCGAAGGGCGTCTGACTTGTGGAGCTGGAGGTCAGGCAACTGTGAGCCGAGGGCGGGGTTAAAGTGACCCTCTGCAGGGCCGCTGTGAGCGCTTACTCACTCAAGCCCCCAGATTCTTTGGTTGCTAAAAGCCCAGTAGACACTGGTGGAAAATGATGAGTTGTAGTCATCCTTGGAATTAAAAAAGAAACAAAAACATTTGGTTAAAAAGTGGGAAAGGTTTTTTTAAAAATAAGCCTCATTTCACAGAATGCCTGAGTTTGGTAGATTTTGGTGTTTGTCAGTCCAATAAATTTAGTAGTGGTTTTCTAAAAAGATAGATCCTGTACATATTACCAAGAATCTAGAAACAGAAAAGGGTTAACTAAACTTGTAAAGACTTTTGAAGATAAATTGTTTAGTGTAAATATCAGCTAATTAATTCAGCTTGTACACTAACAGGTGCTATTACAATTAGGAAATACCTAATTCTTCATTTCTTCTTTCTTTAAAAGCTTTGATGTTCACAAGAAGTGTCCCCTCTGTGAATTAATGTTCCCTCCTAACTATGATCAGACCAAATTTGAAGAACATGTTGAAAGTCACTGGAAGGTGTGCCCGATGTGCAGCGAGCAGTTCCCGCCGGACTACGACCAGCAGGGCTTTGAGAGGCATGTTCAGACTCACTTCGATCAGAATGTTCTCAACTTTGACTAGCTTTTAGTAAGAGGTCGTACAATGTAGCAGATAAAAAACAAACCAAGCTCAAATAGAGGTTAAGGGGATTGCTGGGGGTCACTTTCAGGTTCCTCCTCTACACTTTCCTGATCGAGAACTTCTTTAGAGTGTGCTGTCACTAGGGTACAGCTTTGACTACAATAAATCCAGTTTTAATCTGTTAATCTTGTCTGCTTTAAGAAAGATGCTCCTGTGTTTATACCTCTATTTATCCCCAGTTAGCAAAAGTGTATGAAGAACACAGGAATTATTTTAATGTTACTGAATTGAAAACATATATATGTAATAGTTAATTACTTAGCACAGTCACATTTACAAGTTTCTGTTCACCTTGGCGATGGAGCATGACTACTATTATGTAATAAAAAACATTGATCAGAACAGTTCTATGAAATAATTCTTTGATATAGAAAAACCCTTAACTCAATGAAATGATAAATTTTAAATCCTGCTTAGACATGGAGCTGCATGAAGAACAAGAAACCCTTTTTATATGGAAACACTGGTTTTAGGAGTTGATATAAGGCATACTTAGTTAATTGTATTGATAACATTTTAGCATAATCTGGATGACTTTTTAAATGATTGAGTTTATATTTATAACTAGTTATAACTGTATAACTATAATGGACCAAAATAAATCAAGGTATCATCTATTCTCATTAAATGACCTTTGTAAATGATTTGGGGCATGAAATGGCAGACTGTGTACCATGGTCTTTCTCCCGTTTTCCTGATGAGCATACACACTGGAAATAAGGTTCCTCAGTGAGTGGTCAGAAATAGCATGCACAACCCAGATCCAACAAGGATTTCTCAGTCAGCTCTGCAGCGTGGTGTGCGATAACATAAAGGAAGACGGGGGAGGGGGGCTGCCATGTCACTGGCACACACAGGCACACACAGGCACACACAGGCACACACAGGCACACACAGGCACACACATGCACTCACATGTACTCCTTTCTCTTTTATGATGGGAGTGTTAAAGGACTTTTCATTTGCTGCTTTAGCAGTTACTAGATTAGAGAGCCGTTCTCCACACTCTAGAGACTGAGGATGTTGAGTAAGGAGTCAGAGTTGGTAGCGTCTGGGCCGCTGTGTGTGAGTGTACGCCATGTTGCTGATATCTACAGAAGAGTTTGTATATTACTTGAATCGTTTGAAAAGGTATATGTTATAAAATACTTTTATTTTTACATTTTATTTTATTTTATTTGAAAAATACTTATATCTAGGTTGTAGATTAAAATTGCCCTAGATTCTAGGGTGAACCGGTATGAGGCATTCAGATGCCAGCTGTCAGGCAGTCCCGGGAGGCAGGGTCCTGACCATCAGTGGATACTCCTTCCAGCTTCCTGGCAAGTTTTTCATAGAACATCCTTGAGCAACATCTGCCCCACATGAGACCTTGGGGCCATGGAGGTGCTTAGTAAAGTGTTGGCTGTGCTGAGTTCTGGTCCCCGGCATGGGTGTGAGAAACCACCCAGTGTCTGGGGAAGCAGTAACAGGATGTCCTCAAAATGTGCTGGTCCGCTGCTCTAGACAGAGCTCTTATCTTCTGGTTCATGAGACTGTCCCGTGGAGACATGACTGAGGATGACACATGATGTTGACATCTGGCCCCCACACGTATGTACACATACTGTGGACATTTCTCCTGCCGTTAGTAAGTATGGCCCATGCGAACCTGAAAGTTGTCTTTGGATCTTACTGTCAATGAAATAAGGCTGCTCGTCTTGTTGGCCGTTTGACTGAATAGAATTTTAGCCCCATGCTTATGATAGAGGATTATTTACAGAAAAGTAAGCAAAATATAAGGGAACAAAAATCTTTACATATCATCTAGATGTTGCAAAATAACTAGGAGCTTAATAGAAGAGGCCCTGGACAGATGTTTTAGTTCCCACAGTAAACTTGATGCAGGTTTTTACAGTTAGCTAGTTAAAATGAAGAGCCAGATGGACTTTGGGTCAGAGGCAGTTTATTTTAAATGTGATTTCACATACATTTAGTAAGCAGCTTTTCTTGACAGAAAGAGTAAATTGCCTTCAGTTCTGATAGTTTTGTTGCTTTCAAACTTAATGTGCTCTGTCCCCAACAAAACATATGAAAATATAATTTAAAGCACGGTTTTCACAGACACGGTACAATACATTCACTATACACGGTGTAACAAAAGATCCCCTTCCTCACCTGCTTCGTAATACTGTCACAATGAAGAAGTAGAAACTGGGTTTTATCACTGAAGGATTTTCACATGCACAATGACTGTTTTTATGACTGTGTAGCTGCTGAACTACTGATCCAGCCTGCAGTTTATCACACTAGAAAGAGCAAAGCTAACTATTAATTGCTGGCCTGTAACTTTTTGGTCAACTGTAGGTAAATATGGAGCAAGTAGGGCCTTCTTTTGCACCAACTTTCGATTCTCGATTCTGGATCATCCGTTTAACACCATGAGAGCTAACACTGTAGAGTTAAGACTGAGACCACTCATAGGCTGAGGACATTTTTAGTGGGCAGCGTCTTTATAAATATTTTAAAATCCTTCATCATGAGGGATTAATGCAGAAGCTTATCCATCTGTTTAACAGAATTCTCTTCACAGTGTGAATAGTGAGGAGGGACTACTATCTAGCTATGTGTAAGACTGCATCAGATGGGAACATGGGGAGAAGGTTATTTTAGAGGGAATCTGAGTCTGCCTTTCACCAGTTTGTACTGTGTGCAGTTAGCTGTGTCAAAGCAACGTTTATTGCGTATTAGGCAACCGGTAAACTCTTGTTTAAAGAATAGCACTTGGGAGAAAAGAACACTCAACACATGATGGTACTGTCGGCGAGAGAAGCTCCAGGACGATCCAGATGTCGGTCACTCTTAGTGGGTATATTAGTCACTCTTCCTTGACCACCTGCTGCAAGAAGCACTTAATGTCAGTAAGGCTTATTTTCATATTCTGGCAAAATGTTTTCTAAAGCTAAACAGACATTTCTAATGAGAATGCAGACATCTACAGTGTGATGGGAAAGTGCCTTTAACAGAAGTCGCAACTGAGCATGAAAGGGGCAGTAGGGATCTTAGCAACCTTCCTCTCAAACGGACCTTCTGAATTTTCGGATTGCAACCCACAGCTCTCTTAGGGCAATAGTTGCAAGAATTGGCAACATATAAACAAAATTGTTGGCAATAGAGAATACAAAGTGCTTTAAAACCTCATCTGTTGATGAAGCTATAACTAAGTTTCACACACACACAATTTGCACTTAAGTATTTCAAAGTGTTTCCTAACGTTTCAGGGGAAAGTGTTTCCACACTGGTATCTTGGTCCACAAGTAACATCAGGTAGAACTTCAGTCTCTTGCACCCAGCAGGCACTCAATGAGTAAGTTAGCATTAATGAGTGAACTGACTCTTTTGCACAAAGATGCCATTTAGAACACTAAAATAATTGGTAAGTTCAACGGCAAGAGTTTCAGCTTTTTAAAGGGCAAGATAATAACTAAAAAAAAAAAAAAAAAGCACACCTTTTATGCATGTTATTTAAATATGAAAATATTTTTAGCATATTATGTTAAACATTCTTATTTATATTTCCATTACCTAAAGTCTTTCTACTCACAAATACTCCATTATGTAAGGCATGGTAACCAGTGTGATAACGAAGGTATTCTTTTGGTTTTATGTGAGCCGATGTGTTGAAAGCTTCAATCACATTACAATCTTAAAGCAGCTCAGTGCCAGCCCCTCCTCTCCCAGTTGACATCACTGCAGTATGGTTAAACACTATGCAACATGCCCTTAAGTTTTATTTTGTTTTGGGGAAAATGTGCTGAAGAACCTAGAGCTTGTTTTGTTTAGCACCTTATATCAAAGTAATGAAAATGGGCGTGATGATTACATGTGCAAATGTACAAAATCATTAACTACAAAGATACATCATTCCAAAATTACAGAAAAGTTTAAAGCATGCATTTAATTATTTTTCATTAAAGGGTTGCTGAGTGCTTCCCCTGAAAAAAGGTGGCTGTTTTCAAAATCAGCAACTGCTGGTGAGGATTTCTTGGCACAGTTCTGACCAGCACGTTACTGCTGCATCTTCCTGATCATCTCGGCAGACACTGGGGGATGGAAATTGATTGTGTGGTGCCGCAGGCCCTGAGCTGTCTTGTAACTCTTCCCGCACCGGCATTTGAATGGTTTGCGGACGCGAATCTGTGTTCGGTGACCATTCTTAGCATGGTACTTTATGCCATTCACATTCTGTGGAGAAGATACAAAAATTTAACTATTAGGGTCACCAAATGTCCCGTCACACTTGTGCAAATCTCAGCGTGGGTCAGATTCCAGCAAAGCAGTCCTGGGCGGTATCCAGAGGGTGCGCTTTGAGAGGGCTTGCTGGTCCTGGGCTGTATAGACCAGGTTTGTAAGGAAATTAATGGTACAGTTCCCTTGGTTTCTCGAAGCCTCGCCTCTCAGTTACTAAAGTTTTCTGCTTGGAAGAGAATTAATTGGAAAATCCTGTGAATATTTCAGAATGGTCAGTGAAATATCTTCCTAAAGAACACAAAAAAATAGGGTAGGGCAGATTGAATATAAGCTGTGGTAAATTCCCTGCTATACCTCACCTGGAAACTTGGGCAGAGTCAGCTAGCATAGTTGAGTGTTAAGAGCCCATGGGCGCTGCGTTGCAAACAGCATTCTTTTAAATAGTTCTATAAAGTTAGTCCCATGAAAAACAACATGCTGAGCGGATTTCTTAGCAGCAGATGATTAGCAGAATGCCCCAGAACCCTCTTCTGGCCCCAGCAGAGACCTGCACATGTACACGACCCACTTGCACACACATGATTAAGAATAGTGATTTTAAGATGTTATTTGCAGGACATCTTGTTGTTTACAATCATGCACTACGCTATCGTGGGCGTTAAAGTATGACAATGGAAGAAGCATTGTCCACGGGTTTAGGTTACATACACGTTTTTTTAATTGAAATCTCTTTCCTAAATGTATGTCCATTTTAACTAGGTTGCTAACACTAGGTTTCAGTATACTTTATATACTCTGTACATTTCTTAAGATTTCTTTTTCAGACTGTATCTCACTCTGATAGCTGCTAATATCTTCACTTTTGCTAAACTGCTTTCGTCTTAACCTAGACTCACCTAGCTTCTGTCTACTACAACTTACAGGGTTAGCTTTATAGTTACATAAAACGTTTTCATGACTGTAGTGAGATGGCGTTCCCTCCCTGTGTGTGGCTGCTAATTGTTCTCAGTGGAATCTGGAAAAGAACACCCAGCCCGTGTGTCACCCTGCTTTGTCAAAACTACACTCTGGATATTCATCACATACACCAGATATGTTGGGGTTCGTTCTGGAGTCTCCACCCAGATGCAGGATATTATTTTAATACTCTATTAAGGGTGAATTTTTATAATAAAATCCTCAACAACTAATAATAATTAACGATTAAAACAACAGCAGGATGCTTTCCAGCCACTGGTCTAACTACTTCACTAGTTCACATACTGTAAGATTATTTACCAGTTTAGCAGACTAGATACTTAGTACTGCTCACCTGGTTAAGCCTGAGGGACAGGCTCCAGAGGTTAAGAGCAAGCAGAGGAGATACTTGGAGTCTCATGTCTGTCAGTAGCTGCCACATTAAGGATGGGAGAAGATGGCAGTGAACACTGGTGCTGAGCACAGTTACTCAAAGGGTGAGGGAGCTGTCCCTTAAGCACTACCTAGGCCCCTTTTCAGATGCCTTGAGCTTCAGAAAACAACGAGTGTCCTATGCTATTTGGAGGGCATCACAGTGCCTGCCTGGTCCATGGCACGCAGTATTGCAGAGTGAATTTGTTAAATGGCCCCTCACAACGCGCACACCACTATTGGAAGAGGCTGAGAAGACTGCTGTTAAAAACATGGCTGAGGGGGCTGGAGAGATGGCTCAGTGGTTAAGAGCACCAACTGCTCTTCCAAAGGTCCTGAGTTCAATTCCCAGCAACCACATGGTGGCTTACAACCATCTGTAATGGGATCTGATGTCCTCTTCTGGTGTGTCTGAAGACAGCTACAATGTACTCATATATAATAAATCTTTAAAAAAAAAACACGGCTGAGAGGCGTCTGCTGGTCTACCATTTTGGATTTGCAGTGCCTGTTCTGTGGTAGAACCCTGCATGGCTGTGAAGTTGAGGGCAAGTGGCTGTACTTGTTCTCAGTCGTGGCCTGAGTAAATCATAACAAAATGGGCTCTGCCCACATACGGGCCTGGCTCTGCTCTTCAGCGTTCTTAGCCTCCTGCCTTGGGCTGAACACCCCATATTTTGCTAAGAGGCATGTTGGGAGTCAGAGGATGGAGGAGCAAGTTCATACAGACCTACTGTGATGGCAGATAGGTAAGCCTAGGCAGCCCACTCCTCACTGGTAAAGCTGTTCTGACTGGAGTGCAGGCCTGTGGTGAAGGCATCAGCTGTATATGCAGCCCAGACGCACCTTCCAGTGACCTCAGCCCCAGCCTGGTGTCTTAGAACAGTACATCAGGTGGCAATTTCAGTCAACTGTGAAAGAGAACTGTGGAAAAATAATTGGAGGTTGTGCTGGCTAGGTTTACGTCAACCCGACACCAGCTAGAGAGGAAGGAACCAGTTGAGAAAATGCTCTTAAGATGGGGCTGTAGGCAAACTTGTATGGCAGTCTCTTCATGATTGATGTGAGGAGGCCCAGCCCCCTGTGGGTGGACCCACTCCTGGATTGGTAGGTCTACCTCTTAAGAAAGGCTGAACAAGCCATGGAAAACAAACCAGTAAGCAGCACCCTCCATGGCCTCTGCATCAGCTCCTGCCCCCAGGTCCTGCCCAGCTTCAATTCCTGCCCTCACTGCCTTTTTATGATAAACTGTCATATGGAACTGTGAGTGAAATAAACCGTTTCCTCCCCAAGTTGCCTTTGGTCATGGTGTTATATCACAGCAATAGTAACCCTAACTAAGACAAGATGAAGGTGGTATGTTGGGGTAGGGAGGAGGAAGGGCAAGAATGACAATTTAGAAGAAAAAAACCTCCCAGGTTGTAGGTCAGTGATAGAGTACTTGCCTGGCATGCATGAAATTCCAGATTAACCCCCTAGCACTCCCCACATAACTTGGAAATTTCAACTCCTGAATCCAATGTGAAAGTTGTTTTCTGGCTTTTAAATGGTAAGGTTGCATCTTGTCTGCTTGCTAATACCCTCTTTATTAGCTGAGTGTATCTTCAGTGAACGCTAGAGTCTTTCTGAGCATGAGGGTTAATAACATTTCATGTCCTATTCCCATGGGTCATGTTGGAAGATGGGTGTCTTAGTGACGGTTACTATTGTGATGGAACACCATGAAAAGGTACTCGGTGAGGAAAGGGTTTATTTCACTCACAGTTCCATATGACAGTTTATCAACAAAAGCAGTGAGGGCAGGAACTCAAGCAGGGCAGGAACCTGGAAGCAGGAGCTGATGCAGAGGCCATGGAGGGGTGCTGCTGACTGGCTTGCTCCCACGGCTTTCTCAGATGGCTTGCTTACAGAACCTTGGAGCACCAGCCAGGGGATGGCACCACCCACAATGGTGCTATCCCCTCCATCCATCAGTTGCTAATTTAAAAACTGTCCTACAGCCTTGCCTTTGGCCCGATCTTATAGAGGCATGTTCTCAGTTGAGGCTCCCTCCTCTCAGATGCCTCTAGCTTGTGTCAAGTTCAATCATTAAAACTAACCAGCACACTGGGTTAAGAGAGAGAAGGAGAGAGAGAGAGAGAGAGAGAGAGAGAGAGAG